CGCGAGGAACGGCCTAGACATGCCAAGGCTGACACAATCGCGATGGCCGACCCCCACAGGCCAGTCCCCCGATTCGAAGAGATGTGCAACTCGGACGAATCCCAGCGGCCACCCTTGGACGAGGCCAGGCCCCGACCTTTCGCTGCGGCAGCCGCAGGGCCAGGCCGGGACGGCCCACGACCAGGCGGCGCGGGGCAGCATCGCAGCGGGGTGGCGAAGCTCGGACGAAGCCAGCAGGCTGATCAGCGATGAATGCGCAAGCCGGTGCGCGTGGGCGGGATCTTCGTAAATCCCAACCCTGAGATCCTGGCGTTGCAATTTTTTCACGACGGGCGTTTTCGCCCCGTTTCGGGCCCGAGGACCCTCACAGATCGATCTGGCTCGAAAAATGATGCAGGAAGATGGGGTCTGGGACTGCGGTCGTGAATTTCTGCGATGTTGCATTTTTTTCACAACGTCGGATCTCAGTGAAGGTGGAGCGCCAACTAGGCAGACGGTGGAGGAAGCGACCGAGGAAGGACGCTTCAGCGAAGCGACGGGGTGGTGAGACACATGATGAGACCAACGGGGCAGGCAGCACCGATGGTGGCTGAAGACATACTTCAGCAGACGATCCAAAGCAGGAGAGCTCAGATATCCTGACTGGAGATGGGTACCATGCGACATACGAGCCTGAGAGTGAGGAATGCGAACGAAGAGATGCCTAGGCCGAGAGCAGGCAGGCGCACGGAAGAAACAGTATGCAGAGGCAAATCGTAAGGCCCCTTCACTCAGGTGGGGAAGCCGACCGCTATCACTACCACTACCGATAACGGTACTGCTACAGCTACTGCTGCTGCCACTACTGCTACTACAGAGACTGCGATACACCGACCCACTTACTCGCCTACTACCTGCAGTGCGCCTCAGGGTCAATACTCGATTGAAGAAGGCCCCAGGCCCCTGCAACTGTAACTCTAACACCCCAGGGTCGCAGCGGGAGCTAGCCCATTATTGGGTCGAGTCGTGCTTTGACGGCCACCAGGAACAGGAACATGTCTTGGGAATGAGGGGAAGGACGAGGAGGAGCAGGAGGGGGAAGAGGAGGAGGAAGAGGAGGAGGAGGAAACGCAACATCCAAAGAAGAGGGGAGAGAGAGAGAGAGGTCCCCGCGGCGCACTGGGCGCGGAGGAGGGCTAGCTAAAGCAAAAGTAGGAAGCATTGGCGGACGAGGACAGAGGAGGAGAGAGGAGGAGAACAGAGCAGAATGAGCAGGAGAAGGAGGGTAGGAGGAGGAAGGAGGGAGGGAGGGGGGAGGTCGGAGGAGGCAGGAAGGAGGGAGGGGGGCAGCCAGAGGGGGCGGCGCCAGCACGACCAGAGCAGGCGAAGGGCGGCTCGGGGGCGGGGCGCGTTGGCCGCATCGCCGTACCCCGCCACCACGGCGGACTCGAGCATGCCGACGGCGAGGTCGAGGCGCGCCTAGTCGTCGTCGTCGTCGACGCCGCCGTCACTGGAGTCGTCGGCCTCGTCGTCCTACGCGTTGCTCCTGCTCTTCCTCCTCCCCCCCATGCTCGAGCATTCCTAATCACTATCGTCCTCCCCACCCTCCCCTCCTCCTCGTTCCCCTCATTCTCCCCTGCTCCCCTCCTCGCCCTCCCTTCTTCATCCTTCACATTCGCCTCGTCCTCCGCCTTTTCCCCCCCTACATAGTTATCGTATCTCGCATCCTCCTCTCGTCCTACTCGTCCTTCGCCTCCGCCCCCATTCCTTCTCCTCGTCCTCCATATCCTCCAAATCGTTATCCTCATACTACTGCTCCTGCTACCCTCCTCATCGTTTTCCTCGTCCGTTCTCTGTCTCATATTCCTCCTCCTCCTCCTCGTCCTCCTCCTTTGGAGCTCCTGGAGCCTCGGCGGATGCAGTCCCTCCACGAAAGACTGGCCCGAGATGACTAATAGTGGGCGGGGAAGGGGAATTCCACAAACGCCTTGGACGAGGGGTCTACGCCACGCCTCAAAGCCTTCAGGGCCCCCGCCTTCCCCGTCCCTGCTGCTTGCGGGCAACGCGAAGCCAAGTCTTTGACCTGCTTCCTCGCGTGGCACCCGCATTGCATGCAGAAACACAGAGCGTCACCGATAACCCACATCCTGTGGGTCTCGTGCGTCCTGGCCAGCACCCTTGGGATGCCAGGACACTCGTTCTGATGGCACAGCGCCGAGCTGCGTTGCTGCCGCGGACTCGGCAGCCCCACCTCCCCTCAGCATTGTGAAGGAGGTGGCCGCGGTCAGAGACTGTGAGCTGGAGCACCATGATGTGTTTCTCCTCCTCCTCCTCCTCCTCCTCCTCCTCCTCCGCCTCCTCCTCCTCCTCCTCCTCCTCCTCCTCCTCCTCCTCCTCCTCCTCCTCCTCCTCCTAGCTTCTCCTGCTAACGATAGCGCTTTGCCTTTGATAGTTTACTTTCGGGCGAGCTCCCCTGGGCCCTGGAATGAAACGACGCCTTCGTTCTCAGAGGGGTTGAGGCGGTAGTTCCGTCGGACCAGGCACTCTGTCAGCATCCGGTCGCATTGCAGGGACTGTCTGCTGAGCGTGATGGCTGCATTCTCCGGCACAGCGATCAGCTTGCGAAGCGCATCGTCCACATAGCCGCGAAACGCAAGGTCAATCTCAATCGGATCGCAACCTTCAGGCTGAAGGTCAAACAATGCACATACCGGAGATAAGCTCGCCTGCAGCGGAACACTCTGCCTGCGCATCCTCGTCGCCTAGGTCCCTGACGAAAACCTCGACTGCCCAAGGGTCTCCCCGGAGAGCTCCGACCCATGGCTTAACAAACCGATATCCATCAAAACCTCGAAGGCAAAAGCCTGAAAACTCGAACCTCTTATCCCCGTGGTATTCCTTATCGTCCCTAATGATATCCTGGCTGGCCTTCTCTAGAGCACCCCAGCCAGTGGACCCCAAACCGTTAACGATATCCTTGTGGCCATTGACAAACTCAAGACCGAGTTGGCGAAGTTTCCAACGCAGCGCCTGCTGAGCAAGGGACGTGGCTTCGCGCCTTCGGCGGGCAGCACATCCAAGAGATGAGAGGGGTTATTCGTGTCGCTGGGCTGGGCCAATGCGCACTGCCACGAACGCCTTTCCAAACGGGCAGAGCACACGCACTACACACTTCCAAGACATAGCGGCTGCTTGGGATAAGTGCCAGACCATTGGGATCTGCCTAGACCGTCTCACTTCATGCATGAACGAGACCAGGAATGAGCGGACCACTCTTAGCTCGATGTCTGGGCTCTCGAGCCCTACTCCATGATATCGTTTGGAAGTGCGCCTGAACAGGGAGAAAATCATCCGGGACAGCTCCATCGGAACCGACCATTCGGGAACTGCCATCCTCCTCCCAGCCTTCCGAAGATACTGGCGCATTTGTTTGAGGTTGTTCTTGGGCCACTCGAGCCCAGCCTCCGAATATTTTCCCAGGAAGTAGTTAGCCTCCAGTCCGTGCCCAGGGTGATACAGATAGCCGATAGCATGGTTAATCGAATCCACCACCTCCGCCTCCATACCTCCCTGGGACGCTGGAATAAGCCACCTATCGTGAAGCTCTTTGCTAGTGGGGAGCGCTGACGGGGGCCGCCTATAGTTCCTTTTCGTGGGCCCCGCTCCTCTGGCAGAGAGCAACCTAGATAACCCGGCCACCTCGGCCTAACGTTTCAGCTCGTCTGTCACATCAGACCGCCAGTGCTTGAGATACTGTCAGCGACGTGAGCGCAACTGCTTGGAAAGAGCTCGTACACTCGAAGAGATATGTTCAACTACCTGGTCACTGCAAGCAGATGGGAGAGCCTGTCGGAGACTGCGTCGCTGAGCAAGTAGATCCAGCATTGCTTTGGCGTGCTCAGGATAACCATTGCCACGCTGAAACCCCACAACAACAACGAAAAACTCTGCAACTGTGCGTATTGTGTCGATGAAATAGCCCCATTCAGCATTCGGAGTATGTTCGTCTCGGCGCTGTTGTTGCTGAGCTTCACGATCCTGCTTCGTGTTTTCAACTCGTTGAACAATGCTGCCCTGTTGGTTCCCATTCGTAAGCTGTCCATCAGTGCCTCGTGATCCATCTTACGCGTCGTGGAACAAAGCCGACTCGAGGGTCAGCTGGGAGCTCGGTAGTCTCAGTGCCCGTGGTGGCTGCAATATTGCATGAGAAACGTACATGGTCAGGTACATGGTCTCGATGCTCACGAAGCCGAATCAGCTGCATATTGCGCGCCAGCGTAAGTAGTGGTCCTGCCGTCGTGACTTGCATCAGCGCACACTTGGGGACGAATATATAATCAAGCATAGAAGTGGTGCCCACCCTGCTGTACTACGTTGGCCCAGCTTCAACATGTGTGCTCACTACAAGGTCCAGTTCTTGGATCAATTGAAGCACTTTATATGCTGAGTCTCCTTGCTTGGTGGGCGCAGCTGCAGCACCAAGTCGATCATCATGCACTTCCGTCACGTCTTCACTGCCCGAAGGGCGCTTCAATCCGAATCAAGAGTTAATGAACATCAATAGCCAAGATCGGAAAACATACAGATACTATTAGGAATGGGAGTCCCCGAATCCAATTGCCTATCTGATCACAAGTTTTTACATATGCGATGTAATCTGTCGCTCTGGAAGGAGGGGGTGGAAAGTAGACACTGGCAATGCCAATATCATACTGGCTGAACCTCGCTCGCAATGCAACTCCCCGACCGACAACAAACAGCGATGCAGCCCATGTGTGAGATTGTACTGCGGCGTATCTTCAGCAGGATCGTGCACCCCGAATTCTTGTTGCTACCTGGTGCGCGTGCCCATCCTGCCTCCACTGCCCATCGTCTCCCTGCTTTCCTCCACAATCTCCTCCTTCCCGTACGTCCTCGCTCCCGCCCGTGCCAGCAAGACACACCACGTCAAATCCTGAAGAAACTTGCCCGGTATCCTGCAACTGGTCACACGAACTCGCCGACAGTGGGTTGTACAGCATGACTGACACACCATCCATGATCTTCAGGCTGCTGATGGCCAGCGGTAGTCGTCGTATACACCTGTGCCCAAGATGGAACCCAATCATGAGGGGTGCATCGTAATTATCTGGTTCGCTTCGTGTGCAGAACGAAAGAAATGTGGGGGAGAGATAAACAGCTGCGTTATCAGGTGTGTGCCCCCCCGCTTTGTGCCGGGGTGCTTAGGAGGAGGAGTAGGAGGAGGAGGAGGAGGAGGAGGAGGAGAAGGAGGAGGAACAGCCGCAACAGCAGGAGCAGGAGCAGGAGGAGCGGGAGGAGGCGGAGGACCGGGGGAAGGTGAAGGAGGGGAAACGGGGCGACAACGACGCGGAAGGACCCCGACCCAGAAATCAAGGCCCGCGAGGGGGCGTGAGCGCCATTCTGAGAGACGGGAGCAAACGCCGATCCTGAAA